CCTGGAAATTTGTTAACAGGGACCTGCTATTGTTGGCTTTTGCCCAATATTGTGCAAGTGTAGATAATCTAACTCTCATTTTCTGTCTAATTGCATAAATCCCAAGAAAGAAAGAAAGAAGGAAAGAAAGAAACAAAAGGAAAGAAACAATGAGAGAACAAATGGTTTTTTTCTTTGAGCTGACAATTAGTGATGTACAAGCTTGAAATATAATAAATTGTCTCTCTAGTGATATTACTGTCTTTGCCATTTGTCAATGAATATCTTAGAACAACATAAATTTTTGTTCAATAGAACGCTTGGGTAATAGGTGACACCTAATTCTTGAACTTGTGATATTCGGGGGGATGCTTACTTGATATCCCAACTATAATGTGAGTTCAGTATGCCAAGTCCTGAACTTAGGAATGCAAGAGATGTTTCTTTTAGGTTCTATTTCTCTCAGCTATTAAACATCTTAAAGATATTTCCTTCTTTAGTTTGTTTCCTGGCTCTTGAGTAGTGAGAATGCTAACTTTCTGGTAATCTTGTTGTCTTCCTTGCAGTCAACTTTTACCACATGCTGCTTATTTAGTGCATCTTCTTTCAGTGTACTTAAAGAGATGTGCATTGCCAGAATTAAGGATAAGGGTCTACTCAATCACAAGGATTTTGCTGATATCCATGGGTTTTGGTATGCAGTAATTTCAGTAAATATATTTTAATCTAGTTTTCGTCCTGCTGAATAGAAACCTTCCTGTTAAATACTAATGTCACATTACAAAGACGGGGATGGAGCAAGATATGTTGACCAATCCAGAAAGCCTAATCCCTCTAGAAAGGAACTAATCTGCATAGCCATATTATTAAACAAAGTCATTCCTTTTGAGAAATCCTAGAAATAAAGTTTACGCATTGATCTTATCAGCTATCTTGTGCGGGGAGATGGCTACTTCTGTCCTGAATTTGCATTAAAAAGTCAAATTCAGTAAGTAACCACCCTTCCACTATGTTCCTTTACTTCTGATATATTGCCATGGTCTTGTGATGCTTCTGTCCATGATCCTCATTTATTTAAGACAGCAATTGTTTAGGGAATCTGCATAAAGCTTTCTCCTGATACCCTTTATTTTGGTTGCCATTTAGTGCCCTTCTTCTGTAAGTCATTTTTTGGTTTTGTTAATTGGGAACTATATGCTTATCAGGTATGACAGTAAGCTTGGCACGGGAAGTTGCTAACAATGCTTTGATTGATCTGAATCCCATTGTGAATGAGAGTGGCGGTGCACCTTCTAGTGGAAACTCAAAGCCTTATACTGAAGCATTGCTTCAAACAACACCACAATCTAGCCATAGAAAGAGGAAGCATGGAGCTTCAAGCGGATCTCTTGAGTGGCATAAGACTAGTAGTTTGGGAGAGGGGAACCCCAAGAGCCATACGATATCTCCTATTCCTGTGAAAATCGCTGCACTTGAGGCATTAGAAGCTCTTGTGACTGTGGTATGTGTAGTCCATGTCCTTGTTTTTTCTTTTTTCCTTTTGTGGGGGGAGTGTACTCTGTATGTCCTTGAATAGAATGTTGATTCAAATGCATCTGTGTATGATATTTATGTCAATCCAAGGTCTTGGATCAGGTTTCTGTCAATAATTAATGTAAGAAATAGTAAAGTCCTTGCACAAGTAGAAGAGTAGTGATGCTTGACTACTGGATCCTAGATTTCAATATGTAGTCTTCAAATCTGAATTTTAGCAACCACATAATCATCCGCCCACCTTGCTGATTTTGTTGAGTTCATTTTTTTTCCTTTGGTGATGAAATATATTTAAGTGGTCAAATTTTGTCATTATTCTGTCTTAATAGAACACGGGTGTGGTCTTTTAAAGTTCTTATGTTCCTGATCTACTTGTGTAAGTAATGCTTGTGGATCATTCTTTCTGACCTCAAAGGACTACTAATGAGTGACAAGAGGTTCTATGTCTTTTGCACAGGGTGGTGCGTTGAAATCTGAAGGATGGCGATCGGATGTTGGCCTTCTTCTGATGGACATAGCTACAAATTCTATGAAAGGGGAACGTGCTGGTGATAACAAAAACATATATCAGCTGAAGGAACCTGTTGATATCTGGGGTGATTTGCAGCTTGCTGCTCTACGTGCACTTTTGGCATCATTACTTTCTTCATCTGGTGTACGCCCCCCTTATTTAGCTGAGGGTCTCGATCTTTTCCGCAGAGGTAATTCCTTAAAGAATAAGTGGAATCTCTTTTTTCATTTTGATTATCTCGTGGATGTATCAATAACAACAAATAGGCATCTATTACAACTAATTACTGATGTCTAGGAAGGAATTACACCTCTTTAATAACACGTGATTACTCAAAAGGGAAAACTACGGAGTATGAGACTGACATTGTTTTCTGAATCTACAAATTAAAACTCAATGACAAGCATGAGACATCTTTCTTAAAAAGAAAGAGACACGTATATGAAATGATATTAACCATCTCAATAATTTTTCTTTAATTAGAAAAGTATATTTTGTGCAATATGCCCGAGTGAAACGGCTACAGATGAATTTTGTATTTCTTGTACGTGTATTTCCTTAATTACTGTAACCACATGAAAGTGGTTTTCTGCAGGCAAGCAAGAAACTGGAACCAAAGTAGCTGGATTTTGTGCTCATTCTCTTTTGACCCTAGAGGTCCTTATACATCCCAGGGCACTCCCACTGGCAGGTTTCTCGGATGGAGTTAGCCACAAACTCCCAGAAAACATGTACTCTGGTAGTGTAAAGCACCAAACTCCGTTTTCAAGTGACATACGGGGAATGGTGTATGATGCTTCTGATTCAGATTGTGACGACCTATATAATAGCTGGCTTGCAACTGGTAAACAATTAGAAGCACCGATGAGTGACCTAGACAAGACTCTGCAGGCGGGAGAGCCATCCAAAACTCCAACGGTTCATCAGGATAAAAAACTTGCTGTAGATGGTTCATTTGGAAAAGAGACTCTAGGAGGAAGTGCACAGGAGCTGAAATTATCCATTCAGGATGTGGAGATGAGAGTCAATGGGGATGAAAATATGGTTGAATGCTGCCAAGTTCAAGAATTTGCAGTGGAACTTGAGAATGGTCTGTCTTCAAAAGTTGGAGTTGCTGAAGAAGTCTTTGGGAGGGTTGCTCTAGGAAGTGGTCCATCTGATCAAGCAGGTAGCATTACGGTTACAAGCCACGATGTTCCGGTGGCTAAAGGTGATGGGTTTCTGGGCAGAGAGAAGAATTCAGCGTCTACTTCAAATCCTGAGAAGGGCAAGGGAATTGCATATGAACTGGGTAATGATTCAGATGCGGATTCATTTCCTGATATTGTGGATCGAGATTCTGATTCTGAATGATGTAAGAATTTTTGGTTTATTGAGTTTGTTTTCTACAGACTCTAGAATCCGTGTTGGGTTGGGAGGAATTAGGGAGTTGGTTCACATTGTTTGTGTCGTTAGACGTCTTTTGTCACGTGTTTGGTGAAGGGGAAGAAATTCAGAAGTTGGCTCAAGTGAAGAAGGCCCTTGTCATCTTTTTGTAACAAAGTATTAATTTTACAGATTCGTGATGTCTTTTGAGATGTTAAAGAAGCTATTCTTAACCTTTTATTATGGAAGTTTTGCCTAAATGTGAATCCGTTACGTAATGTTCATCTCTTAAATTTTGATCCGTACGCAACAAAATCTTGCCTTACCCAAAAAATCACCTTGACCACTTTAGTTAAAACAAACAGTAAAAAAGGAGGAAGAAAGGTTTCTGCAGATAGAGGCAAGGCAAACATCAATCTGGTGTGTTGGTTGGTTGGGGTTTAGATGAGTTTGGTGATGAAGGTAGCTCAATCGTCAATCGTCACATTTGTCAATTGTTGTGGGCCCCTTCCATAACTGAAATTACACATTAGGTTTAGGCATAGGCACTAATCATTTGGTTTATATACAGACAGCTGTAAGGGACAAATATTATACCCACCAAGAAGTTGAATGAAGCAGATGGAGATGGAGGCAATTATCAATCTCAAATGCCAACCAACTGGTAAAGTATATGTTTTATTATATGTTGATTATTGGGTAATTGGAAAGATAGTTAATAAGACAGACAAGAGGTCGAACATGGATGGAGTTCCAATCAGCAAAATATAGCTCTTGTGGCTCTACTCATGCAATGCACTGCCTCTTCTGGCTTGCCTCGATCCGCTTTCTTTTTCTCATTCTCTTAACTTATTCCTTATCATTTAAGTGTAGATTCACCGTCTGACAACATAACATAATACGTGTTCGAAATTGATCATTACCATAAAAAAACTTTAGGGCCCTCTTATCAACTGCCTTGTTAGGTTTATGTCATTCGTCGGCAGACGTTCACCTCTCTTTTGCCATTCAACGCCACGTCTCTAAGCAAATGACTACTTGCAGGTTTCGTTATCTTTTCTGCTCAGCTCAAGTTTGGAGGTTGAGAATGCGTTTCATAGACACTGCAATACAACAAGGCTTAGGCCCCAAGAAGCAGCAAAATTACGGTTTCTGAATTAAATGAGCGTCTCTTCATGACTGTCGTCAGCTCGTGCCATAAGGTGTTTGGTTAAGTCGTGCAACGAGCGCAGCCCTTGTGTCGGTTGATTGTAAATTCTGTTTCCGTTGTCCCAATCAAATATAGTTTCTTTTAGTAATGTTCTTCTCATATATGGCACAATTTCGTTCATACAAAGCACAATGTATCTTAATCAGAACAGATTGCAAAACAAAAACAAAAACAAATAAATAAATGTCATTACAATTTTCTCTACAATAAGCTCTGTTCCCAGACATCTTTACTTAGCAGTTAGCAGAAATCTCATCAAAGGCGAAGTAGTCGATCGATCACCATATAAAATTATAAACATTGTTTAATGATGCAGATCATGTATAAAGATATATAAGTAGCTAGAAACTAAGTGAGGATTTAATTTCTATGAGATGAATCAGAAGAGAGAACCCTATTTAGGGTTTCGAGTGTCAATCTATCTCACTTGATTTCACTAAACTTGTGTTTTACAAGAAGAGAAGGGTGGATATTTTACAAGCTGCTGAGAGAGCTTTCAAACTGTTACACTTGCAATGACCAACAGCTTCACTTCATCCAATTTCGGATACACGCTTGAACAAGAAAGCTTCGACAGATAGCAGTTTGCCGGAAAGATTTAATTCAAGTCCAACTGAACCAGCAAGCTGTTACACGACATTTTCTAAACATCAGAAAAAATTTCAAAATATTCCATGGAACTGAATAAACAAGATTAAGACTAAAGTAGCTATCTAACAGGAAGGTAGGAACAAGTTCTAGTATCTGTCCAAGTTACATATGACCAATAAATGAAAACAAATACAAGCATTTTTTGCAGTAATCAATGACTTTAATCCACAAGATTTCACATACTTGTTAGTTTCGTCAGTCCAGCATACGGATTGAGTGCAATGATCCACTTGAACATAATTCTTCGGCGGCTGCTGCCCGAGTTTGTGATCCAGTTTACCAGATTCTATGACCTGCAAATCCTCCAAAAGAATGACATAATGTTTCTGGACATCCTCTGCACTCTTTTTACCTCCAACCAAGGCTGCAACTACATCCCAGCGCTGCGGATCTTCCTCGTCAACCACTGCCAAAGCCAGCTCGAACAACTTGTTCTCCTCCCAACTCCACCCACATACAAGCTTTGGAAAAGCATTCACGTCCATGTCAGCAGCAGAAACAGATTTTTTATAAAAAAAGATTTGGAGAAAACGAGGATGACCCAACAAAACAATTCATTCACATATTGTTGCTACTTGCTAGGTATCCATTGAAGAAGAATAAATAGGGTTAGATTCTTTTCTGACCACATATTGTTTCTGATGGGTGTGTCCGAGTATTTGGTTATTTTTTAAATCATATGAAGTGGTTGTTGATGACGGATTATTAGTTAAGTGTTTATTTTTTATTGGTGACATATAACATGATTCAAAATTTTGGTCTAAAAGATCAGTCTACCTAATGTTACTCTTCTTTTGCGTCAAGGAATATATTTTGGTCCTCCTTAACTCAAATCTAAACCATGATTCAATGTTTAGCTTTTTGTTAAATATGTTAATCTGTCTCCTTCAGTCCAGACACTTCTGGACCCAGAGGATTTGCATTTTGCACCATATCTTCCGGGCTTTGCTCATGGCCTTGTATATTTCACCATCACATGTTAATCTCGTGTGCACGTAATTATTGATTTTATAATTTTAATGATTATAAACTGGTGCACTGTTCTCAAGGGTCCTGGGTCCGTATGATTATGTTATTGGATATTTTTTTTTTTTTTTTCTCTATTTTCACTTTTTGTGTTAATGGTAGAAGAGAATTATGTGCGAGGAATTAAGGATGAATTGTTTTTATTAACACTTTACATTCGTCTTTTGTTTTGTTTTTGCTTTTCACATTCTATGTTAGTGACAGTGGAGAATTATGTGGGAAAAAGTAAGGATGACAAATGACTTGTTTTATTAACACCTTGCATATTATTGAATGCATCCTAATTTTTACATCCTACATATGTAATACATCTTATATAAATACTCTTATATTTAGTTTTTTAATTAAAATTTATCCTAATACACCTCAAATACTTTCTCATAATACTTTCACACCCCACACTCTCAACACACACTATATTTTTACGTACACTCCTCATTTTCTACTTGCACTCCCAATTTTTTACATACACCTTAAATTTCCTACATACCACCCACACCCCCCCCCCCCAAAAAAAAAAAACAAAAAAAACAAAAACAATACCCTTCACATCTTCAAAATTTTGTGATCAAACAAGGCTTAGGGTTTATTAGGTGTGTGATTGTCATCATCAATCATACTTTTCAATGATATCATTCATAACCTAATTATAGGAATGCCGATGTCATTGAAATCATTAAGACAATTAAAAATATGGTCTTACCTCATGCAAAGCTTTTAAAACGTCGATTTCATGTGTCATTTATCAAAATAATTTTTCTCAAAAAACATGTTTTAGTTTCATTGGTTAGAGTTATGTTCTATAATGGATGGTGAGAGTGGTTCAAGAGTTGAAAAAGATAAAATAATCTTGAGATATACATGTGGCAAAAGTGATTTGAGGTGTATTTAGAATTTTGTTTTATTTTTTTAAACCTTATGAAGTTGAAATTGTCATTGCGTATTAGGGTATATGAGTTATTTCATATTAAATTTTAATGTGTGGTGTATTCAACATTATGTGAGATGCTAATAAAAAAAGCCAAACTAAAAACAAACAAAAAAAATTATATGTTATTTCAACTTTCAAGATTGTGCTTTTATTCATTCATTCTTTTTTTTTTTTTCCCCTTTCTCTTGTCATATTTTTTTTCCTAATATACTTTACTCAAAGTACAGATCATCTCCGAATCTAAAAAAACTGAGCTCAAGGATCAAATGATTCGGACCGTTGAAATTTGATCTAACGGTTACAATTATTATAACTTTTAGAGGAGTCTCCTATTTGTAGCCGTTGGATCAAATTTTAAAGACTCAGATCATTTGATCCTTAGGCTCAGTTTTTTTAGATCCAGAGAGGATTTATACTCCTTTCCTCATATCCTAAATTTGAATCGTCGTCAAAGACACCAATGGTTATTTGGCATCCGGTCATCACTATGTTCAATGAAGTACTTAATTTAAATCTCATATTTTATAACTTGCATAGATTAATTAACGGAGAAAACCAGATTATATAGTATAGAATCCACATTTGAACAGCAAAGGGGGTCTCTCTCTCTCTCTCTCTCTCTCTCTCTCTCTCTCAAGTTGAGGCTCTCAGCATGTCTTTTGTTAATTAGAGAAATAGAAGAATCAATCATGGTGGTTTTATCTTTGTTTTGGTTTAGGTTAAGAGATAACATATTAACGAAACCCACTTGTTTGTGTGGGGCAATCCCTTGCCTTGCCAGGGGGGAGAAGATAATGATTGATAATTAGGGGGAGACTTATCATACCAACTTGCGAAAGGTCAGTTTTTAATCTTTATTTCTTTCAACTCAATTGCCAATAACCAAACATTTGGACTTGACAACTTGCAAGATTACCAATTTGGAGCATTAATTATCTCGTTTCCTCCATTATTCCTTGCAAACTTATAAGTTATTATTCATGTGCTTTGTGCAAACCATGGACTTTGATGCCACTTGTCATGAGTCCACATAACTCTTACACGTATTGTTTTCGACTTAAATACCTTATCACGTTTTCCTTTTTAATGATATAATTGGAAATGGAGTTTAGGACTTAACGACTTTTTTAGTACCGAGGAGACAAATACCTGAAGCTTAAAAGCTAGTAAATAACAAATTTATTTAAGTTTAAATGAATATTTATCTAAAGTTTTTGCGCGACTTGGGAAAAACTTTGCAAGATTGGTGGTAATTTGAATAATTCATGCTTCAAAGGAGATTAAAGCAGAAGCAAGTAATGTTATTCATACCATGTATTATATATCATATTTCTATATCATCTTAAGTGACATCTGATGGACAACCACATCGTTCGAAAAATTTGCAAAACCCAAGGAAATGAAGGAGAAAGACTCCTCGTATATCACAACCATTATTTGATTAACTAGTTTTTCTTAATTATTAGTTTATTAAATAATGAACTAAATTTAAAAATTTGATTTATTCAAAGAGTAATGCTATTCTTACTACAATTTTATACCACATTTCTTTACCATCTTAGGTGGCAGATGAATTGGACAAGCTACATCATTTAATTTCAATCTTTTTATTAATTAAAACACTTAAATAATCTTAGGTGAAAGAATGAGACTATTCGTATACCATAATCATCATTTAATTAACAATCTTTTTATTAATTATTGATCAACATTTTGAAATTAAATGCTAAATTTAGTTGATGTGACCGTTCACATCAAATGTCACCTAAGGTGGTACACAATTGTGGTACAAAAATATAGCATTATTGTAATTCAAATGATGCGGTTGTCCACATACCTAAGGTGATATGAAAATGTGGTACAAAAATATAGGATGAATAGCATTACCTAAATTTAGATCAATTTCCCTTACTTTTCCAAAGCCCAAGGATTGTTGAACCTAGAAAAAAAAAACTTAAAAGGAGAAGAAGAACTTGTATCTTTATACCTCTTGAAGTAATTTTTATTCGGTGTGCTATCTACACACTTATTTTTACTTTTTACACATTTGTCAATTTTCGGATGTGAAATTGAATGAATTGAAGAAAATCAAAGAATAGAAATTAACAAAAGATGTAAGAGGTAAAAAAAAGTGTGTGGATAGCAACATCCTATTTATTTTCACAAAACTTTTGTCCTATGGTGACCTTCAGAATCATATTCCTTTGCTCTCCTCGGTTTGAATACAATCTCCAAGTTCTAAAGTTATGAGTCCTCCTTTAAGTCTCTACACAAAGATAGAGATCTGAAGAAGAGATGGATTTTGAGCAAGTTGGTGCTAGCATACTCCTATATGGGGGCTATGGGTGGAGAGAGCACGTAGAGAGAGATGTTCACAAATCCATCTAACAAATGATCCAATATGAGAACAATGTTCTTTATATATAGCAAAGTTAGGGCCTAAGTAGACTAGGCAGTTAAGTAAATTTATTATATATCATATAAATAATAAAATATTTACACTTAAAAAAAACTATACTTGTATTGAAAATTCAGGACATATAAAATGCAGAATTAAAGAATACACAAATTATAAAGTATTACAACTTATTAATTTAATTAAATTTGTTATAAGAAGAGCTAGTTATACATAATATGATGTGAATGTCAAAATCTAAGTATTGTCTTTGCTGTTAAGGATATTCGCCCTCTCCATTATTTCTTAGGCCTTGAAGTACAACGATCAACATATGGTTTGTTTCTCCATCAAGGCAAGTATCTTCTTAACTTGCTTCAAAAAACAAAAATGGAAGGTGCAAAACGATGCTCCACAACTGTGAGTTCTATCAAGCTTGATCACACTGGACCACTTATGTCTTATCCTACAAAATACAGATCCATAGTTGATGCCTTGCAGTATTTGATGTGGACAAGACCTGACTTATCATTTTTAACCAAGTTTGTCAATTCATGCATGCTCTAAGAGAATCCCACTTGTGGGCTGCCAAAAGGATTTTGAGATTTCTCAAGGGAACTATTACACCTGGATTATGGTTCAAAGAGGGTTCAATTCATTTCACTGCATAGTCTAATGCAGATTGGGCATAATATACTTTTGATGGAAGGCCTACGGGTGGTTACTGCATCTTCTTGGTATTAACCCCATTAGTTAGAGTACAAAGAAGCAATCCACTGTTGCTAGATCCTCTACAAAAGTACAATATTGTTCCTTAGCACATATTGTTGCGGAAATTACTTGGATCTGCGAAGTTCTTCATGATATTGGCCTTTCTCTGCTCAAAGTTCCTCAACTTTGGTGTGACAGTATCTCACTATATCACTTGCTTCTAATCCAATTTCCCATGCTAGAACCAAACATGTTGGAATAGACTATCATTACATCCGAAAGTTAGCTTTTGCCAATTCAATCAAGGTCTATTATGTATGCAATCAAGATCAGCTTGCTGATATTCAAACAAAGTCATTGTCCAAGAACAAGTTTCAGTACTTACAATCCAAGCTTTCTCTTGGTTCCTTAATTTGATACCAAGTTTAGCTTGAGGGGTTGTAAAGAGCATCAAGTCTAGTATCAAAATTGGTTTCTGTTTAGTGTAAGCTTGTTATAAATGTACATGTGATTAGTTAGAATAGTTAGGGATTAAAATGTAACTGTCAACATAGCACAATGCTATAGATACCAAGTGTATCTTGTAATTGTCACTTAATGAAAGAAGACGAATATTCAGTAAACAATTTATCATTTCTGTTTTCTCTCTAAGTTTCTATAAATTGTACATCGATTGAGGATGGGGAAAACAATTCATTAATTCATTAATCTATGCACCTATATATGCATACACCATCTGCATGCATGCATCCATCTTGCACGTACGCCACTAAAGTCATCATGTTAATTTTTACTAGAGTAATCGATATATACATACATATATATTGAGAGAGACACAGCGCTACATGATAGGTGGTATATTATTATGATGTGATATATATGCGAGTACTAGATCTCTTCTTCTCTCTCTAGGCTGAAAGTCAGCACCTAAAGACTCTTAGGCATCAGTACTAATGAAGCCGGGGAGGTACGGAATGTTAGCGAATTTCAACCAGCGATCAGCCAACAGGGCGGGTTGAGCTGTGAACTGCACGGCGGTGGCCCTGTTCATCTCTCCGTAGAAGCCATCACCACTCCACCTGGCCCTCTTTGCAAGGTTGGCACCGGGGCCGCGGTTCTTAAACTCTCCGAAGAAGGCGTGTTGGGTGTTTCCGGCCTTGCCGTCCCAAGCGGAGTATCCCTCCGGCCTGATGAAGTCTGCCAAAGTGCTTTCCATGACGACAGCCCTGGAGTAGGGCTTCCACGGCCTTCCCAAGTATGTCCTCACCTCGAACCTCGTGGGGACGAGCTTCTGCTCGGGGACGATCCTGCAGTTGTGGATGATGATGGCGCCGATCTCGTGCTTGAACTGCCTTCCGGGAGCGGTGATGAAGGCTTGGTTTTGCTGCGGGTTGGTTGACTTCCTCACGATGATCAACGAGTTCTGAATGTATGCGCGGGCGTCACCGAAGATGTAGTCCACGTGTCCGGAGATAACGCAGTTGCGGAAGAACTGTCGGCCGGACTGCATGTACAAGGTGTCTTGGTATCCGCTGATCCTGCAGTTGAAGAAGGCGATTTGGTCCCCGACCGTACGGAGAGCAACGGCTGGCCTTGCCTCTGGACCGGCGGTGTTAATGATTCCCATTGACCTTCCAATGAAACCCGGTCCAAATACTTGGAATGTACCACTGGTGGAGATTTTGTCACTGGTTCCAGCTTCGCTCTTGCTTCCACTCACGACGGTGGATCTGGGTCCATCTCCGTACATGTAGACGTTGATCATTTTCTTGTCCACGTAAACATACTCATTGTAAACTCCGGCCTTGACGTAAATAATGTATCGCCCTCTCTGTCCGTACGGGTACTCCTTAAGCGCGTCGTTGATGCTCTTGTACTGGCCAGACCCGTCCTTGGCAACAACGACGTGAGGCCTCAACCTCCCGTTGTCTTGCAACCCCATGAGCTTGCGGTCGGAAACGGAGAACCACGTCGGGATCCCGTCGCTGCGGAGCTCGTTTTGCAAAAGCCGGCGTTGTGTTCCTCCGCATTCAAGGCCTTGTCATTAACTTTGACACCGAACATGCCGAGGATATTGCTGATCTCACCAACGATGGCCAATGCATTGTCTGTGTTGGCAGAGGTGTTGCCGATGGGGTCCTTCAATGCCTCATAGAGGTTGTGGTCGTTTTCGCCAATTATATCAAGGCAGGTGGTGGAATAACTGATGACGCTTCCAATCCAGGCCTTGAGCTCCATCACGCGGTCCTCCATGGTGTGCATGTCAGCATCGCCCACGTACGAGGACACCGCCTGCACCTCGGCAACAGCTTCCTTCAACATGTCCTTGCACTCCTCGAGCGTCCTCTTGGCGGAGGTGCCATTTTTGGCGTCGACAAGAAGTGACTCGGACGTGTTCAAGGCCTTGTTGGCCTCCTCAGAGATGGACATCAATGCGGCCTTTACGTAGTCCTTAAACTTGGCGTTGTTATTTTGTGAGACGGGGCCGAGGCTCTTCTGGCATTCCTGCTGGTAGTCGGTGAAATTACAGATTTGGGTCACCATCTTCTGCTGCGCTGTTAGGGATTCGCTTCCCGGTTTCTTTTGGTAGTGGACTACGGCCACCACCGCTCCGATGACCGCACCAACCACAAGTATCAGGGAAATCCCCGATACTACCACTTTTTTATTAAGTGCCATGTTTTTGTTTTCAGCTTTCCTTTTTTTTTTTTTAACCCTAATATCCCTCCGAACCGCTTTATTTTCTGCCGCGACAGAAAAAAATTAACACATGAGCCAGCGGCGGAACGGAGAGAAAAACTATTGAGAGAGGAGATGAGAGAAAGAGAACCCTAATTAATTTATGTCTACGAGAAATGAAGGAGGTTTGCATGGGTAATATAGTGGTGGAATTTTCCTGAATTAGGTTTTGCATGGAACCGAATGGATGTTAATGTTGCATGGTTGACCGCTTTTTGAGATTGATTTAAGGGTGGATTATGGTTATGGATATGGTGGCTTTGGCTTAGGACAGCCCCGAGACAAAACACACCGGAATGTTAGAGAACTGCCGTCGTCGTCATCCTATTTGTTTGGCACGGATCACTGGATCTCATGTCTTTAAACAATCAACAATGAACCAGTTAGTTTGTTTTGTGTCAAACACTGTATTTGTCATTTCTTCTGCTATTCCTATATTCTACATAAGAAACGATATTTAACATTGTGGCAGAAGGAATGACTTTGACTTGAAGTGTGGCTGGAATCCACCAATGTTTGCTTTCAAAATGTTGACTAGGTGGGATGTGGGGTCCATCGTTTTGGAATAGAAAAAGATAAGGAAAGAAAATGGAAAAATCAAGTTTTCTGTTAAATTTAGTCATGCTCACATATGACCCCTTTTAGTATATTCAAAAATACAAGTCGGTACAATACATATCATAATACAAATGCAGAAAAATTAAAACTTTTTACTTATATTATTACGTCTAATTTACTATCTTATGTTTTGATTACAAGTAAAAATCTTTTCATGTGAACAAATGACATCTCTATATTTGAATTATGAGGTCTTGTGTTTTGGTCACAAGTATTTTAAAGTTATGTTGATGGAATTATGTGGTATAAAAGATTATATTGAAATGGATGACACTTTCAAGGATATTAAAGAGAAAAAAAATTGTGGCCAACTCAAGGTATGAGATGATTACTCAAGAAGAAGAATCATTCATTCTAATCTTTCACAAAATGATAGGTTTATAAGAGAAAAGTTTTCTTCATGTCTAAACCCTTTTTGATTCCTTCAGTATGCCTTGACTTTATATGGGTATTCTTTTCAACTCAATCCTCTGTGTCAAATGAAGCAACAAAGTATGGTTGCAGAAGTATTCATGATATATTAAGGGATAATTCTTGTTGCCCGCCTGCTTTCGCACCTCGCTTACGCGTCTACTTAGTTAGCATCCCAAATCCGCGTACCCCTGCTTCCTTTAACAGGCTAGTACACAAGCTACTAAAGCTAGTAAGCTAGTATACTAGCATTTGCCCGATTGCTTTAACAGAGGCTTTACCTCCAGGTTCCCACCTGTCTTGTCCAAAACTATGGGAAAAGTCGATTTGCTAGATCAGAACGTGAACTCGGGTATACAAGTTAACCACCTAGAATCGATCCATGACCGCTAAACTAAAGAAGTCCTTTACCAAGTAAGCTACGCAACCGTCTTTACCCGCCTCAACCAATCTTAGCTCGGACATGCCAACAAGCAAATTTTTAAACCACAAAGTATGGTTGTAAAAGTATTCATGATATCTTGAGGGATAATGCTAGGGAGACCAAACTTTTTAAACCGAATGATATGGTTATTAATGATTGGTTATTACTTGAGCGTTGATTAACATGTTTCTTATTGGTGACACATAATTTGGTTTGCAAATTTAGTTTAAAATTTTGACCTCTCTAACATTTTACTAGCGCACAAGGAATGAAAAAGTGAGTGGTTCTCACATTAAAATTAGTTATGTAATACATAGCTGCTTACAATACTATTGTGTGGCATGACTCGACTCAAATTACTAAACTTTGCAGGAAAATGATGTAGTTAAAGCTAAAGATATGGTAACACCTTGCCACTAAACACCTTCATACGTCACGTTCTTACTACACATTAACTTGTCGCCATATCACTAAAACATTGTACACAATTTCTCCGACGTACTTGTGATTCGTGAGGGACGAAGCCAGGAGAGACTCATGGGTCCCTAACTTGAGCCACAATCTTAGGTTTAAAGATACAAGCCCAGGCTACCGGCATAGCAATTTTCCGGAGAAAACTCAGTTGATATGATCAAAACTACAAAGGGAACCAAACTGAAATCATGGGGAGCTTACACATATTTAACACAACATTATTTCTGAGTTGAGCTCCAGGAGCAATCCAAGCTTAACAGTTCAGTCTGAACTCCAACGAATGAAAGCTCGAGTTGCAGACAACAAACATAAAGGATGAATACAAAGAAAACAAGTGGTTATATCATACAACTCTATTCTCCTAGAGTATATTTCAAAACAGACAGCGTCGCATAGGATACAAAAAGCTTGATCTAAATTTTGCGTTCTCTGCAACATCCAAGCATGTATATTATTGCCATACCAGGTTCCAGAAATCGCATCCCTCCTACGTGCATGCAATTGCAGGTACGTATGGCTTACCTTGGCATGCTTCTGAACCCAAGACACTTTCTTAAATGTGCACACTTCCAATTGCTGTTCCAATGTCCGAAGTTGCTTCAATCTTTCTTCCCCTGCCAACGTGCCTTCGCATCAACTAATAATGTCCAGTACAACATCGAACCACATCCACTTGGTTTTACATACCTGATAATGACATAGTCTTCAATGGAGCTCATCAGCACGGACAGTTGAATAATAATGTCCACAGCTATATAATCTTGCATATGCACTCATATGCTGAAATATGATATTTACCACTTCCAGATGCTGTTCCTGACATAGTTCGTCACTTACAAGGAAGGGTTTAGGCAGAACGATCCATTGATTTGTAATGGACAAAAGGCCTCACAATGCGGGTACAATCAACTTCTCAAATAGGCAGCTCGCAAGAACTTTGATAGCATAATAGATCTTGTGTTAGAAGCATTTTCACCTATTCCTTGGAAGCTCCTAAAGTACCCCAGAGAGGACAAAAGAAAAAGAGAAAGAAACGGAAGAAGAAGAACAAGAAATAAAAAAGGAGAAACCGAGGGCAGGGGCAGGGGATGACTTGGATCACAATGTAAAGGTTTCCGTCCCCCTAGTTTTTTAGATACTCTAGTATCTGTATTTTGTTTCAAAAGTAAACCCAGTTGGTCAAGGTCCGATAAACTGATAATATTGTTGCAGATGTAGCCATCTTTTAGAGCCACTTCTCTGCAATTTAGAGTGTTGTTGACCAAATCAACTACCAGTTTCGGCAGTTGTTTCAGCTTTAGTCTAGGGTAATAGTAATCGGTTGCCATCCAGAATGATGATGAATGATCCATTTCTTCACGCTGACTACCATATTCAAGATCTGAAGTACGCTGCCCAAAGCAAGCTCTTCTGAGCATGCTTTTTTCAAAATAATAGCTGCCTCATATCTGTAGAGGAAATAAGATGATCAAAGCTTATTTTCAAAACTCAACAGTAGAGGAAAAGCATAAGTAGCTGAATATTCTACTGTAAACATACCTGCATTGAGAAGCCATTAATGCCGATCGTCCATCTGAGGAACTCAGAAAGTTCTGTATCCGATCCCATGTTGCTTTGGAGTACTGATTAAGATTGCCCCCTATAGGGTTCACACACTTCCATAATTTCTCTTTCTTACCAACATAAAACTGAAGTGCACCCAGGCTCTGCTTCACTACCATATGTTGCTCTATTGCGTAATCCAATGCCTTCCTTACATCAGTATTGCGGTGTTTCAGATCACCATAACGAATGCAATCGATAATGTTTGCTTCAGTCGGCATAATTTTTTCAACTTTCAGGGTGTTCAAAGATAGTAAAATAACGCCAATAAGGCCTTGAACATGTTCAGATGGTGGTGTGCAGCCTTGAGCTCCCCAAGTACCATTACCAGGTATGTTGTTTCCAACAGCAGGGGAGGACTGAGGAGACTGATACTCAGAACCAGGATACCTGTTGTTCATGGAATCATGATGAAACACCTGGCCACTCTGCATATGATGGCCTTTACGAGGCACATTTAAGCTAGCAGAATTCAGTGAATCGCTAGACCTTGGTCTTCTAAACTCTTCCCCATTTCGATGAGGGAACCTTTGTGGATTTTGAGCATAGTTGTTGTGCTCAGAGATATTTAGCCTACTCATGTCAGGCACATTTGTAGGTGGGGCTGAAGAAAATTTAGGGCCATCAGGTCTGGGAGGAATAGGTCGAAAACCATGACTATGAGAATTAGGAGGGAGGATGGTATCTGGTCCAAAATAATTAGGTTGCATGTGGAAGTTGTTTGGCGTTGAAGAAGGAGGATACTGATTTGGTTGACCTAGGAAATTATTGCCATTACCGCCTGAAGGATCAGAATTTCCATGGAAGAAAACGGGAGTGGACCTACTAGTGGAGACTGAAGTCTCACCAGAACCATATAATTCAGTGAGGAGCTTTCTTAAACTGATTTGCCTGTGTATGTTCCGACTGGTAAGAGTAATCAGTATTCTTGTCATCTTGGTTCCCAACTGGCATACTTGAGACTCTTGATATGTAGGGTTGATTTGGGTTTTTCCGATTGACTTTCCCCTTGTTTTTAGTATCACCAACCCTTCCGTTGGTAGAAGGCTTTTGATTTCCCACAGGATGTTCAAAATAAACTGGAGGTGGGTTTATTTCAGGCATGGAATGCTGCCGCGTTTCAGGGTTATAAGAATTGTTACCATTTACAAGCTGAGATGATTCCCGGCTTGAAAGTGGGGGCCCTCCAGCTGAGAGGCTCGTCCAAAGCCATACAGTTTTTGCTGCAGCGATGAGGGGTGCGGAAGCCTTATGTGGTTGTGCTAGAAGAATATTATATCTTCTCATGCGCAACTGGTGTAGAGCATTGGAGAAATCCCTGTCTCCAGAAATGAGCAGGTAGTTTGCTGGTGCAGCGTTATCTACTGCCCAGAACAACATATCGACTAGAATCTTCTTATCACTTGCATCT